GGATTTAGGATCCATAACATAGGACCTATAAATTGCCAAATGAAAGAGGTAAATGGAAACTTTTTTGTAGCAGTGGTGGATGCTTCATATTGCTAAATATCAGTACAAAAAATGGCCACTGCCCCAGTCTATAACTGGCCTTCACAGCAAGGAGCACATGGAAAGGCGACGCATGACAAACAATAAAAGACTAAAATTCCCAGCTCAACTTACCAACCAGCTTGGAAACAAACCGAATTAGCCTAACAGTATGCGTTAAAACCAGTTTAGTTAGCACACATTTGCAAATTACATGCGTAAGCTACAGAGCCTCTTCACGGCACCCCAGTATTCTGCAGTTCCTAACTCTACAAATTCTGAGAGCCCCCATAGTAGAGGCACATGTATTTAATGGAAAGACTGAGGGCAGGTGAAGTTGAACTGGGAAGTTTTCTCTTTTATGGTTTGTTGCTAGCTATAACTGTATCATCTGATTATTATATTCAACACCCCCATGGACTGATTGTACTCATGTACACAATCAGGTTTCTGGACTGTACCATGTCTTCCATGGATTTCCATTGAGGTATCATTGTGGATTGAAGAAAGCAAATATATATCTTGTTTGTCCCTCCAATTCATAGCCAAAACGTCTTTGTTCCACAAACTCACTGACTCCCCCTTTGCAGCTTTTTCCAGCCTTTGTGGGAAGCTTGCCCTATTAGCTTTCACCATGCCACATACTAGAGTTTACTTTAGATAGTGGAAAAGGGGTGGGCTGGTGTAATAGTGGTCCACATACAGGTGATACCCTTTATTGAGTAGTAGATTTACTACAACTTTTTCACTGATCCCAGTATAGGTTGGGCAGTCAGGGGGCTGCAACTGGGTGTCCTTTTCTTCATACACATGGAAAGCATGTGTTTCTTGTGTCCCTTTTATAAAGCTTGTACAACTTCACTCCATATCTAGCCCTTTTACTGGGGATGTACTCCTTGATGTCCAGCCTGCTGATAAAATGAACAAAGGACTCATCAACACAGATTTTTTTTTTTTTTTAAGTCCGCAAACGTGCAAACTACAACGAAAAACCCGTAAGTGATCACAAAAAACGTGCGTGCGAACACCACACAAAAAAGTGCACTTAGGGGTGTGTTTGTCCTACCCCCAGAAGGGTTGGACCGTTCACCTGATCCCCCGGGGCACGAAGCTCCTGACAGGGACAAGGTTCCATTTGGTCCTCCTGGCCAAAAGGCCTGGTGGACCACCGTTCCTTATGCCCAGCCGAAGCCGGACATCCAGTACTAGGCAAGGGGGTTCTCCCAAAGAGAAAACCCCCTAGGGATCAGGGGAGGAAGGAACTTGTAGGGCCACACATCCTCCCCCTAGACTTCAGGTAAGGCCCGAGGACCCACACCCTCCACCGTGAAAAACACACACATAAGTAAAGTTTGACAAAACGTGGGAGTGCATAATAAATAAGGTAAAGATAAAGTAAAGAAAAAAATAAAAAAGTGGTACCGTGCCGAATTGTGCACAGACCAGGCCCTGAGGCCCAAGCAAAAATTGCCCTGGACTTAGCCAAAAGACCTGGTCCTTAGGGCGCTGTGCAAAAAGAGGTGAAAAACAGTGGCCATGTGTTCTTCACACCGTGGGGTCCCACACCCAAGTGTTACTAGTGACACCCCTGAGAGCGTCTTCCCCAGGGGGCACTGAGTTTGCGGACTTTTTGCGTCCCCAGCCCCTGGCCAGACCAAGGTAGATCCGTCCAAATCAAGGGTCTTTCCAGTCTTCCCAGAGGAATTACTCCCAAGGCCCCAGAACGAATCACTCCATGGTTTAGTCCCTTTTTTGGGGGATGGGTACTATACAACAACCATCCCCGCATGAATGGTCGGGAGCACCCCCACTGCACTGATAAGAACAGATACTAATGATCTTAGCCAAAAGGGAAGCGATCATCAACACAGATATGTTTGTTAGGAATATACAACTGGGAAAATTTCTTAGAGAAAAAAAATGAACAAGTGGCTAAATTGTATAGTTTATTATACCCATGGCCATTTCAGGGAGAGCACTGTGTATTATTGCTGAAATGGAGGAACCACATGATCATTTCAGATCGTGTTCTTGGCATTACAGATGAATACAAGGGCATATGATGAATTGGGTGGGTGGAGCAGTATTTATGTACTTCATTTTTTTTGGGAGACCTTTATTTAGTGTAAGGCCCAAAAAATTTTTGAATTTCTCCACAGTGAAAGGTCTCTATGCAAATGAATGGGCATAATAGGACTCTGGGTTATTAGTGATGTATTGTTGGGCATAAAGTATGAAATGATCCACAAATAACTCATAGGTAAAAAATAAATGAAAAAAATTAATTGGTGAAATATTTTCAGTGTTGGCCTGAATACCTGACTGTGCAGTGAAAGGGGAGATACTAAATGATCCTGAGTTAGAGGGAAGCCATACCAGATTTGCAGGTGCCTCTGGGAGCCACCTCACCACTAGTACCTGGCCTTTCATCCAAGAGGTACTGCTCTGCAGATGTTCGCCACTTCACCAGGTTGGCAAAAGATAGGTTGGTGTACAGCACTACTGGTGCTTGCCTGCTCCTCTCTAGAATGCCTCATCCTTTTTGTAGGCACCTTTTCGTCTTCTGATTTGGCTATTGATCCACTGCTCCTCATGGGTTTGTACTGAATCAGACTGCTCCCCATTGCTCTTATCTGTCACGCTAAGGATCTGAAATGCCTCCTTGCTGGTGTATTTTTTTTAGACATGACATATGGGGGCTCTGGTGACACTATGCTGCTGTGATGACTGACAGGTGCACTGATGTGGCTGAATCAAGGCACTGATGATGGCTTCACTTGTGTGGCTCAATCAAAATACTGATAGATGGCTGCACGGCTGTGGCCAAATCAGAGTACTGATGATGGCTGCACTTGTGTGGCTAAATCAGAGTACTGATGATGACTGCATCGATGTGGCAAAATCAGAGTACTGATGGTGGCTGCACTGAAGTGGCGAAATCAGTGTACTGATGATGGCTGCACTGAAGTGCTAAATCAGAGTATGATGATGACTGCACTGATGTAGCTAAATCAGAGTACTGATGGCTCCACTGATGTGGCTAAATCAGAGTACTGATGATGGCTGCACTGGTGTGGCTAATGCAGGCCATAGATGGGTCGAAAATCGGCCGATTTTTCGGCCGAAAATAAAATCGGCCGATTTTCGGATCGTTAGTGGGCTATTTGGTCGGCCGTTTTTTTTTTTTGGTATTTTGGCCGTTTTTTTTTTTTTTTTTTTTTTCTGTAAAGTTGGAAAAAAATCGGCCGATTTTGCCGATCGGCCGATTTTCGCGGCAATTAGTGGGCAAATCGGCCGATTTTTTGCCGATAAAAAATCTGCGCATGAGCAGTGACCTGCAAGAGGAAGACAAAAAGAAGAAAAAGAGGAAGAGGATGAAGAAGAGGAAGAAGAAGAGGATGAAGAAGAGGATGAAGAAGAAGAAGATGAGGAAGAAGAGGATGAGGATGAAGAAGAGGATGAGGAAGAAGAGGATGAGGATGAAGAAGAGGATGAAGAAGAGGATGAAGATGAAGAGGATGAGGATGAAGATGAGAAGAGGAGGATGAGGATGAAGAAGAAGAGGAGGATGAGGATGAAGAAGAAGAGGAGGATGAGGATGAAGAAGAAGAGGAGGATGAGGATGAAGAAGAGAGAGGACGAGGATGAAGAAGAAGAGGACGAGGATGAAGAAGAAGAGGACGAGGATGAAGAAGAGGACGAGGATGAAGAAGAGGAGGAGGAGGATGAGGATGAAGAAGAGATGAGGATGAAGAAGAAGAAGGATGATGAAGAAGAGGATGAGGATGAAGAAGAAGAGGATGAAGAAGAAGAAGTAGGATGAAAATAAGAAGAATTCCAGTCCAGCAAAAAGTGTCTCTGCAGAGAGCTCCGCTATTTCTGACAGTTCTTTGACATTTACAGCAGTTGCAACAATGTATCTATTTGTTTCCGAATAAAAATATCTGTATCCTAAATGGAAACAAATAGATACAATGTTTCAACCGCTGTAAATGTGAAGGAACTGTCAGAGAACTGTCAGAAATAGCGGAGCTCTCTGCAGGGACACTTTTTGCCGGCTGTAGAAGGGATGAAAATCGGCCGATTTTTTTTACCATTGATGGTAACGTCGGCCGCACGTCGAACGACCGAATTTTCGTTTTTTAAAAGAAAAATCTGCCGTTTTTCTCCCCATCTATGGCCTGCATTAATCAGAGTACTGATGATGGCTCCACTGATGTGGCTAAATTAGGGCACTGGCAAAAGGCTGCATTTTTGTTGCTGAATCAGGGCCCTGATGACAGGTGTTGCTGATCAGGAAGAAATGATGCACGATATGTGGCAAGTGTTAACCTCCCTAGCGGTCTGATTATGTCCATATTTCTGTGCTCAAAGCGGTACATTTGTTTGCATGGAAATATGTATTTTTTTTATTGTAGGCCTGTAATTTTTAGGAATAACTCACTGAAATCTGCCCAAACAAGAGTCTAGTAAACATCCCGGGTATGATAAAATTTGAAACACGAAATCATAAATTATAATTTAATAAATAATCATAAAAAAAAATAATAATAATCTAATAATAATAAATTTAATTCAATAATATAATCAAACCAAAAACAATGAAATTTGAAACAGAGCGCCAAGTTCGCACATCACTGAGCAAAGTCGCAAAATCGTTTTCAATGTCTGATGACGAATTTCCCCACGAATCATTATCACTCAATTCTGCAAATGGTTCTGATTTACTATTGCTGTTCTCTAGCTGGTCTAAAACCGCTTTTGACCTAAAGGGACACTTTTTGGACACCATGGACATTTCTCAGTTTCCAGGCAGAAAGAACGGTACAAATGCAGGCAGGGCACAGGACAAAGCACTATGGACAAACTGTATGTGAAATGGTTTGATACAGGAATGTTTTACTATGTGACTTTAGTGAATGTCACTTTTTGTCATTTTCAAATTTCCCGCCGTTCCGTCCCCCGTACGTCCCAGGGAACAGAACCCAGAAGACAGATGCCGGCATCGGCCGGAGGACATTACAGGGGACACTGCAGGAGGGACATCGCGGGAGCGCAGAACAAGGTAAGTGATCGAGGAGCAGCACCGCATGGTAAGCCCGAGTGTAGCTTGGGATTACCGCTTTTGGTACTGAAACTTTACCCCGAGCTACACTCAGGAATACCCCAGGGGGTTAAACACCGTGTGTACAAGTAACTCACTGCTCTGGCCCAGATCGACTCTCCCTTCCTCACATGTAATCTCTGTGTAAGGAGAGCCATTAACATGAAGCCTTCTGTTTGTTTACATCTGTGATCACATGGTAAAGGGCCCCCGTGACTGGCCCTTTACCCCAATTTGTGACGCGGTGCCCACGGCACACAGAGGTCACAGATAGTTCCTGATCCGTGCTTTAGGGGGTGCACACATGGGAGGACAGCCAGGGACACCCTCCTATCACTGGAAAGCACCCATCCAAACGCACTATTACAATAGGCCAGGTGGGAAGTATTTAAATACCAGCAAAACAAAGATCTATCTAAAAAAAAAGTACACATCATTTGGGTCCAGTATCACATGCCTCAGTAACTATCATTCAGAGTGGCTTTAGAACCACTTTAGTGGAATCAACCAATCCAAGGCTCGACCACCTACAAAACTTCGAGTGTAAACGAGGCCTGACAGGGCCCACGGTCTTATATTTTGTATTTACACTCAGTTCTCAGGTCACAGAACGGGGCCCGGCTGAAGAACTAGCGAAAGCCGGCTCAGAGTCTCCAGGCCTACAACGATAGAACTCCAATAACACCGTGTTCACTGGCTCCATCCGCTGCCTCACCGCTGGACTATCGGCCCCTTCCGCTACAACGTGATGAGGCAGAGGAGCATTCTGGGAAATGTAGTTCATGGAGGACACCTCTGTCCACGCATGCCGCCCCAGGAGAAGTGCACAGTCCCAACAGCGCAGAGGGTGCCGCGCACAGCCTTGTGGGGGTTGTAGTCCTTCCGGGTCAGGCCAGGGCGGTGACGGCAGTTGGTCGTCGTAAATCCTGCTGCTCCCATGCCGCCTTCCCTCCCGCCTCCAGTGGGCGGGGCCGTCGATCGCTGCCGTTGCCTGTGTAGGTGTGTTGTGGAGCTCAGTCGCCTGCAGGAGGCGGAGGAGAAGAGCGGGAGCTCGGAGACTGCCACCCTGGGAAGTGAGGTGAGCTCGGACTTGTCTGCTGTGACGTGGGACACCGGCTTGGCGGGTGGAGGAGGCCTAGTCGTTCTCTGCGCCCAGGCCCTTTCTCCCATGACAATGGCCTGTGTACGGCGGAGGTTCCCCGTGGCCGGATGGTGTGTGAGGGGGGCTTCCCCTGGACTTGTCACGTGATCTCCCTGTGTGCCATGGCAGCCCTGTATCCCGGACTGATCACTTGATTCTCCTGTTGTACTGATTCATCATAGAAGACGAACCCCTGTGATGTGCTGGGGGGGAGGGGAGGAGGACACCTCCAACTCCTCACGGTTCCTCTGTGTGGGGTCACAGCTACATGGAGACCAGAGATCAACTTACTGTGTTCAAACACACTGCCATGGTGTGAACTTCATGTCCCGTGATCATTGTGATGGACGCGCACACATCCAACTCGGTCACATGCACTGCAGATAGAAAAACTAGAGTGCCGCTTTTTCATGGCTTCAACCCGCGAAGCCACCCCAAGTCTCCTTCACATTATCAGAAAAGATCGTAGAAAACGCACTTTCCCTGTCCCCACCCACACTTTCCTTCCCACCTCTGCTCCCATGTCTTACAACTACCAGTTTTCCAGAACTTCTCTGGGCACTTCCAGAACTCACCCAGGCATGATGACGTCCCAGACACCCACAGTCTCCTGGGATACAGACATCGCACTTCTCAGACGTTCTTGGAATACCCTACAACACATGTGCCCCTGTGTGCTATCAGGAGGGTGGCTGTCTTACAGGTTCTGGCAGCCAGCCCCTGATGACGTGTTCCAGTACATGCGTGTTATCAAGGGGCCAGCTGCCTCTTCTGGGTTCTTCTTCCAGCTGACCCCCTGATAAGTCTTGGTGTATGTGTTATTGGGTGACTGCCTCTTCCTGGTTATTGCAGCCACCCACCTGATGACATGTCCAAGTGTATGTCTGTTACTAGGGGGGAGGCTGTCTCTTACAGGTTCTTGCAGCCAGCCCCCGATGACGTGTTCCAGTGCATGCGTGTTATCAAGGGCCGGCTGCCTCTTCTGGGTTTTTCCAGTTGACCCCCTGATGATAAGTCTTGTTGTATGTGTTATTGATTGACTGCCTCTTCCCGGTTATTGCAGCCACCCACCTTATGACATGTCCAAGTGTATGCCTGTTACCAGGGGGGTGGCTGTCTCTTACAGGTTCTTGCAGCCAGCCCCCGATGACGTGTTCCAGTGCTTGTGTGTTATCAAGGATCAGCTGTCTCTTCCTGGTTCTTGCAGCTGGCCCTCTAATGATGTGTCTTGGCATATGTGTTCTTGAAAGGTGTGACTGCCTCTTCCTGGGATCTTGCAGCCACCTGATGACGTTATTAGGGTGTGGCTGTCTCTTACAGGCATTTGCAGCTGCCCTCTGATGACGTGTCCCACTGTATATGCAAGTTATCAGGGGCCTGATGCCTCTTCTGGGTTTTTGCAGCTGGCCACTTGATGTGTCATGGGGGGGTGTTGCTGTCTTTTCTTCACACTTGCAGCTACCCCCTCCCCAATAACCCATTTCAGTACATGTATGTTATCAGAGGAGTGGCTGTCTCTTCCAGAGTCCTGCAGTTAGCTCCCTAATGATGATTGTTGGCATATATGTTATGGGGGGTGGGGATGACTGTCTCTTCCAGGAACTTGCAGCCACCCAACTTCTGAAGTTCCCAGTGTATGCGTGTTATCAAGTGGGTGACTGTCTCTTCCAGCTTCCTGCAGCTTGCCCCCTGATGTGACGTGTCTTGTCACATGCTTGTTATTGAGGGGTGGCTGTTTCTTTGGGGAGACCCAAAGAAATGGAGGACCCCTGATGTAAGAAAGTTTGTGGTGCCTGACCTGTAATGCACTGGCAAATTGCAGCAGGACAGCGCTGGATGAATGTATGAGTATTAAGCCGGCCATAGACGGATCGATTTTCTTTCCCACAACTACGGGTTGCAGGAACGAAAATCACTCAGTTCCCCTATTAACAGTCAGTGTTGATGTGAGAATCCCTCCCATGGAATTATTGTGTTCTGGCAATAATTGCAAAGGCGGACAGGCTGTTGTACCCAAGTAGATCGATCAAACAACTTTGGTTACATTCAGCCTGCCCATACATGCTTCGAATCTGGCTGAGATTCGCACCGTCTATGGCCGGCTTAGGTTTTTAGGAAACTTAACAGACAGAGTTAATAGAGGTTTTAAAAACACAATGAAGGGGAAAGGGCCGGTGAGATTCCTCTTTAGATATATGAATTTGTTTGGAATGCCAGTTGAAGCAATTGACCAAATGATCAAGCCACCATTTGTAAATGTCGGTTTGTAGTATTGTTTCTTATTTGTTTTAGTAGACTTCATGATAGTTTTGGGTTCGGTTTTTGTGCTGTATAGTCGACCCATGCAGCACAGCTCACTAACCAGTGTCTCAGGAATAGTTTGGTTATATTCTTTTTCTAATGGATGGTGCTATGTTTTGATTTTGAATGTTTTTGTTCCGTAGGACAAAATATGTGTGTTGGTGTCCTGGTCAGCGTATGCCTCTGTCACTTGGAAGAAGCCAGAATGACCCAGTGTGGAGAGCAGAACAAATCTTCAAAGGAGCACTGAGTCCTGTGGATAGTTGTTGATGCCTTTGACAGACGGACTGTCCTATGATCAGGTTTTCTAACACTTGTTTGTCTGTTGGACACAAAGGATTGATGAAAGGATATGAACCATTTTAGTCTCCAGTGCTTAAGTCGGATGTTCTTTTCAAAGTGAACTCTTTCTGCTGTTTCCTCCAGTATGTAATGGCTTGCTTCTTCATTGGCTGCTAAGGAAGGGAGAAGATTATGGTGTAACAGGAAACATCCTAAACAGAAACGTTTTTTTTTTTTTTTTCCCCTTTTCTTTCAGATCTCATGGGAAAGGTGGTTCTACTGTAGTTCCAAGTTGTTTTGTTGCTATAAATATCTTCTTGCTCTCTGTTGGCCTCTAGTCTGGAATACAGGATGGGATATTTTCTTTATAAGTGAATTATTTACAGAGCTAGAAATTTCCCTGCAGCAAATTATGTGGGAACAAACAAGGATGAGAAGACTTGCTCTGTGCTTGAGCTGTTAAAGTTTTTTGTTTGTTTGTTTTTTGTTTTGTTTTGTTTTTTTTTGTATCATGCCTCTACTGCTTTATGTTTGAGTTGCAAACATATTGTGGTGATGGTGAAAGTATATGGGAAACGGTTTTGTATCTTCAGGAATCTTTGGAGAAGTGTAAGCATCCTTTGGCTGCTGTGAGGAGGGAAAAAAAGTTGCCTTTGCACCGCTCATATGAATGCCGCTGTGAACAAATATTGTTGGCAAATCAAAAGCAACGGACTAAGAAACGCACTGCATCTTAAGCCCCAGAAGCTGGATTTCTTTCCTACGTAAACTACCTGCATTTCACTTGTTTATTTGATAGCTGTCAAAATACCATAAGAGTGGATAATACATACATTTATCATCTATCCCAAAGGCCACAAGTACCTTTACTGTTACATGAAAGCAAAATTAGCAAGGCTCTATAGAAGAAGCTTATGTATTCATAGTGATCCATATCCTGGCTTTTTTTTTTTTTTTTTTTTGTGGGAGCTTTGTTTATTCTAATTAAAAACTGCTTTATTGGGAATTGCCTTCACTTGGATTGTATGCCTTTGTTAGTGGCCAGGATCTCACACTTTTTTTTTGTCTTGGGAATTTTTCTATTACGGATGACTCCAGGAGGTGGGCCCATGAAAGAGAGTGCGGATACAGTGAAATTAACACTCGTGGAAGCTCACCCATGGAATCTTCTCATAAAAAGAAGAAAACTGCTCTTCAGCGAAAATGGGAGGTTTTTCCAGGCAAGAACAAGTTCTACTGCAATGGCAGAATCATGATGGCCAGACAGACTGGAGTCTTCTACCTCACTCTGATCCTAATTCTGGTCACAAGTGGACTCTTCTTTGCCTTTGAGTAAGTTTGTGTTTATCACAATTTTTGTTTTTTGGTGTCCTGATGTGTTTCTTGTTGACATACTGATTAACCTTA